CCTGCCACGACATCTGCACATGGAGGTTCACAAAGTGCTGTGCCTGCCACGAAATCTGCACATGGAGGTCCACAAAGTGCTGCGCCTGCCACGAAATCTGCACTTCAAGAGACAAGTGAAAACCTAATCACAATGGACGGCCGACCGACCATGACCCGAGACCGTCTCGCAACCGTCGTTCCGCAGAGCTAGACTTGCCAGGTTCGAAGCCACCGGTTTTATTGAAAAATACAGCATTTCGTGCGTCCGCTATCTCTCGAAAACGCATTTTGTATGGCACCTGCCACGAAATCTGCACATGGAGGTTCACAAATTGCTGCACCTGCCACGAAATCTGATGAGTGGTGTATGATGAGTGGTGGTTTGATGAGTGGTGTATGATGAGTGGTGTATGATGAGTGGTGTATGATGAGTAGTGTATGATGAGTGGTGTATGATGAGTGGTGTATGATGAGTTGTGTATGATGAGTGGTGTATGATGAGTGGTGGTTTGATGAGTGGTGTATGATGAGTGGTGTATGATGATTGGTGGTTTGATGAGTGGTGGTTTGATGAGTGGTGTATGATGAGTGGTGTATGATGAGTGGTGTATGATGAGTGGTGGTTTGATGAGTGGTGGTTTGATGAGTGGTGTATGATGAGTGGTGTATGATGAGTGGTGGTTGAACAGCTGTTGAATGTCCGTAACACGGAAGTTTTGCACACTAAACGTCCTTTGACAATCATGAAAAAGACTCAGCACTCAGCAGCCTACCACTGGTGGTTTCGCACCCGAAGTCTATTCTGTAAGGTCGGCAACCTTTCCAACAAAACGACATACCTTCTGAGTTTGTTCTAAGTTTTTCACAGCTTGTCCCTGGTTTGGGGGATGAGATACCCTGTGTCCAAGGGGGTGATGACTTAAATCGCTGCTAGTAACGAGGGCATCGCTACTAGTAACGCACCGCAGACAAGATATGATTTGGACAGCAGGGCCTCTATCAAGTCTATCAAGAAAGAGGCAAACACAGACACATACACACCTTTTGAGACTTGATTGAAAAATAGCATGTTGCGCCCAGCAGGGCATTCTGTTTCACTTAGGGCCCAGCGCGTCCGACAAGCAGCTGGATGAGGAGTGGCAATCGACGGGACGTCGGGTCTATAGGTGAAGTATGCAAGCAGCCAAAGACGATTCTCCAGCAAGCAGAGACAGCTACTGTAGGGAATTGAAAAGATGTGCATTATTGTAGGTGCAATATTGCAAACATGTTTCCTCTAGTGTCCGAACACTAGAGCCTATTGCATCCTTTTGCGGTGCCGGCAACTCCTTCTCTTCAAGCTTTGCCGGTTGTGCAACTGCTTGTCTTGCCGCACATTGTGTAAGAACGCAGCAGTGGAACCCCCGACACATGAAGTTCAACCAAATGGGACCGAACAACCCGAAGGAAGTTGCTTTGTTGCCAGTCGAGAAGACGAACACAGAATTCCGTGAAAGTGATGCTTTCAAAGCGGGTTCCTGTGGATAGCACGGCGTAGCTACTAAAACGTTCTTGCAAAAGTGCAGAATTGCACTGTCACACGTCCCCTGCTGACCCTCACCGACCGGCACACCCATTGCAGTTGGCAAAAAGAGAATGCTGGAGACGACGTCGAGACGCCTCTCCTCGCAACTCCGAGACGTCTCTTGTTCTTCAGGTTGAGACGACGGAGCCAAAGGATCCCTGGAAGGATCCCCAGTGGATTCGACACACCCGGGACCTCTTCATGGGGCCTTCGCATCATAGCTGCAATGGATAAACTGGCGCAGACCTCACCAGTTTTGGGAGGAAATATGGTCAGAAAGTTGTTGGACAGGTAGAAAGGTACAAAATGAAACAAGATTCTCCTAGTGGATTCGTCTTTCTGTGGTCTTTCCCACAATCTTTTCATGCGCTTGGCATTCCACTAGGTTTGAGTTTGCAGTTTGCCTACTCCTCGTGGCATCCTGGTGCAAGAGAGGAAGGGCCCAGCGGAAACGGGAAACCAACATGGGACTTGCGAATCGATCTTTTTGTGTCACAGAGATTACCGCACGGATTGCTTGACAAGTGTAACTGGCTAGAAGCATCTAGAAGCGATCCCAAATCATCTCTCACTAGTGTTTTTCCTGCAAGTTAAACTAGGACAGCTTTTGCTTGAAAATGGCCCGGGCCCCTAATGAGAACGTGGCGAGAAGAATCCAAGAAGTCCCTGCCTTCAGAAAGAAATTGGATTCAACAGGAGCTTGAGTTGAGGAACAGGATCTTACATCCTATGAGGCAAAGATTGTCCAAACTTCCAAACACATTTCATGGTGACAGAGCGCATGGTTGCCTTTCAGATTGAGCCAGTCGCAAAACGGTTTCCTCTTCAGAGAAGTAGCCAGGTAGATGTCAAAAGGTTCCACCCTGTGGGCCAAGCAGGTTGGCTGGGGAGTATCTTCATCAAGAGAGTGAACCCAAGAAAGCCACACGATCCTCACATGCCCTCCACCCCATCTCAACGACGTCGGCGTGATGGAGCAAGGTGAATTTCATGTTCATGGCATGGCAATTGCAGGTCCACGGCATCTTGACGGAGACAGGGAAAGTGAAATTGGTTGTTTTTGTTATTGCTTTCTTTCTTTTTAGCCCGCTCTTACTTGACTAAGTAGACGTTACTGAATGAAGTAGGGGCTAGTTACCTAATTACTAGTACCCGCTTACTAGGAACTGGACCCTGGATAGCTGGCGCTCGCACTATTCATTGGGTTTCTGGGTTTTTAGGGAAACTTAAGTTGAGGATTGTGCGGAATGGAACAGCATAAAGGAGATAAGGTTTCACGTCAGAGCCAAAGGTGTTTGGTCTAAGCAGAAGCAATCATGGCTGTTATTCCTGTATCCATCTATCTCGTGAAACAAGGTATGTAAGCCCCACTTATAATGACGGTGTTTTGCAAGTTGGAGCCACATCAATCACACCGGATTGGGGAACATGCTGGAGGCGACATGCACTGCTTTGTTCTGACACATCCCATCCATATCGGGGCATCCATGCGCAGATTGGACCTTCCACGCAGATAGTGGAGCAGCCGCAGATAGAAGTAAGACCTTTTTACGATTCAACTAGGGATGATAAGGGTTTAAGGTTTAGAGCTATTCCCATGAACTTGATCCTTGCTGAAGCGTCAAACATGCATTCAAATTGCTGTTTTGCATTGCTATTTTACAGTGGAGGTGTTCCAATGTTCTAAAATCTCCGCCATCCGATGGTCAAAACCGATGCAAAGCCTGAAATGCCCAAAGTTCCTTTTTGCGTTAATAAGGACGCTACTAGGGGCTCCTGGCCTTACTACTAGGAGCGATCGGACGCTACTAGGAGCAAAGGGCATCGCTACGAACGGAGCAAGGAAGCTACGTTCGGGGCTCCGGTGCGTTCTGGGCAGCTCCTCAACCCGGAAAGCGACGAACGCCACAGGTATCGGCATCGGCCACTCGATCGGTTTCCTTCGCTTTGACCAGAGTCCGGAGGACTGAGGCCCACGTGGCGCAGGCTGCGAAGGAAAATCCGTCGAATTGGTCCACCCTCCAAAGCTGTTTCAATGCTGTTTCAATGCTGTAAACTGAAAAGAGGCTTCTACTGGAGCCTCCAACACCACGCAAAATGGACTTGGTAATGTACAACACTGCGGGGTTCAGTCAGTTGACATGTTTCCTGCCCCCCTTCCTTGTTCCTTTTCGTCAGACCCTCACGGAGCAAACAGGAGTTGTACCCTTGGGCCGACGGTTTATTCTGGTACAGCGACATCTTCTTCGCTGCGGTGTTCTCGCTGGAGCACCTCGGTTTTCTGCAACCTCTTTGTCTTTCTGTGGTATGTCAGGCTGATGGCCAGACAAACTCCATCATCCGCAGACAGCAGTTTGGTGCGGCCTTTGATTTCACAACAAAAAAGCCTACTGAAAGCGTTCGAGAGCGAGGTGAAGTGATGAAAGACCTTCATCTCCAAACGAGCCTGTTGGGACCCAGCCCGGTGCAGGGGAACCACGGCACAGCACCCTGCAGAGTTCGAATTCTCATTGCCCTGAGGATTCTCATTCGCTTGGTGGTGATTGGCAGAGCCTTCTGGTGCCACATCCTCAACTGGTCCCTTGGGCTAAGAGTCGAGCTACAATTGCATGTTTGAAGGGTTGCTATCCGCTATCCATATCTATCCCTCAAAGCTACCCGAAACTCTTCTGCTGAGCATCCGTTGAAGAAGACTTCTGCTTTGAACATCTCCGAACCAAAGACATCGCCTTCTTGGTGCGCAAGAAAAAGATCCTAGTAGCTTCTCTTGTTCCTAGTAGTAAGGCCAGGAGCCCCTAGTAGCGAACATTGTTACTTTTGTGTCTCTGCATCTCTCTTTTGGTGTTTTCAGGATCGATTTCCTCGTGGTCTCTGCCAGCTGGATCGAATTCTTCGCCGCGCCTTGCCACATTCAGTTGACCCCACTAAAGGTCAACCTGGGTTGACCTTCAGTGGGGGTCCCGCCTCGTTATCTCTTCCGTTTCGAGTTTTCTACAAGCATTTATTGTTCCTAATAGCAAACATTGTTACTACTAGTAAGGCACTTGTTACTACTAGCGATGCACTTGTTCCTAGTAGCTTCTTGTTCTACTGAATGTGCATTCTTCATCTCGCAGTGTCCTCTTTTGCTGACCAAGTCAGTTCTGATTCGACCGCGCGTGTTCAACTCCGAAGGAAGGTCGCCCAGTTGCAGGAGACCCTCCCGGTTTTGGGTGCGGTGGACCTGGGGAAGAAGAAAAATGAACAAATTCCTGCCTTTCCGGAGGAAGCTTTGCCGTTCTCCCCGACCTTATTCCTACGGATGGTGCGCCTGGGGAAGCTCCTGCGAGCCCTACGAGTCATACGGCTCTCGCGAGTGCCTCAGTCCAATAACAGTCGCAAGACGTAAGGACGACTTCGCAGTGTGGGAAGGAGCCCCTAGTAGCTTCCTTGCTCCTAGTAGTAAGGCACTTGTTCCTAGTAGCTTCTTGTTACTACTAGTAAGGCACTTGTTACTACTAGTAAGGCACTTGTTTCTAATAGCTTCCTTGCTCCTAGTGTGGGAAGGATCACAAGACGTTGTGATTGCTTCGATGTGTTTGACCGCCTTTGCGGGCATCACACGGTCACAAACAAAAAGAGCCCTACTAAGTGTCCAATTATCCACACCAAACAGGTACAAAGGCTCAAATAGGGTTGAAACGGTTCCAGGCTCTGGATTTCAGACCGCAACAAATGTGAAAGAAATCTCAGAAAGAGAAAAGAAGCTAAAAGATTCCAGAGTTGTCCCAGCAGGAGAAAGTGTTTGGACAGGCTTTGGAAGTTGCAGGATTCCGACCAAGACAGAAAAGCTGCCCTTTTCTTTGCTGTCTTTTTTCCTCAAACCGTACTGACTTGTTTTCTTCAAAACTTTAGACCTTTTTTTCAGAATTTGTTCCTCCCTTTCTTCCTTTCTTCCTTTGCAGGTCTTGGAGTCGCTGCATTTGCTCTTGAAGCTTTGCTGCAGTCGACTTGTTGAAAAAGAAACCTCGGCATAAAAGTAATTTGCTGTGTAAGAAGGCCTCATTCATTTCGTATAGAAACTATGCGATTTCATGTTCCACCCATATTTTGCCTGTAAAGGTCACACATGATTGGAGTATTTTCTCAACGACGTATATATATATATATACACGGCAAATTTGCGTGGCCATACATGCTCGATGCCGTGAGGAAGTGTATTGTGGCAAGCCTGCAGATCTTTTTCTGGTCAGTGGTGTTGCTGATCATCATTCAATACTGTGCCGGAATGACCATCTCCTACATGTGTCTTGCTTGAAAACCTGCAAAATACTCCTCCGACCTTTGAGTGCCATGCCCCCGTCCCCATAAGAGCCTCCCAAGGGCCCACCTGGGTACGTTCGGAAGGTCAGCGTTGGTTCCTGAGATCTTCATTGATTCAAGAAAGGCACTTGTTACTAGTAGTAAGGCACTTGTTACTACTAGCGATGCACTTGTTACTACTAGCGATGCACTTGTTTCTACTAGCTTCTTGTTACTGCTAGTAAGGCACTTGTTACTACTAGAAAGGGGAAGCATGTGGATTCTCCAGCTACGCAGGGAACGGTCGTAGAGATGAGATCCTTCGTGTTGTCATAGAGTTTAAGAAATGACTGCAGAGGATTGCATCACAAGCCTGCTACTAGGAACAAGTGCATCGCTTCTAGAAACAAGTGCCTTTCTGGTAGTAACAAGTGCCTTACTGGTAGTAACAAGAAGCTACTAGTAACAAGTGCCTTACTAGTAGTAACA